TTAATCACTTTCGTAAAAAGCCATTTACGATTGGAGCGATGACACGTGGAAAAGCGATTGTCGAGATAAGAAATTCGCTTTAATGTACACTATTAGATATTAAATATATTTATGAAAATTGGAACGAACGTTAAAAAATGAGAAGAGAAAGTGTGCATATGTGACAGGAATACAATGTTCTGAAGACACGGGATAAGAAATTTGATATCAAGATTTATCGAACGTTAAAATGGTAGATAAAAAGAAAATTAGAAGGTTATTGATTAAAAATTTAATAATTTCAATCGGTTAAATTTAAATGACGCATGTTTGAGAATTATAAATTTTATGTACAGAAGGAAATTAGATTCCTGTAATGCATATTGTCTTAAATTTATGAAATAAAAACTACAAATGTTAAAAATGGAAATTTTATAAATTTTAAATGTTAATATAAAATTGTATATTACTCTCTCTCTCTCTCTCTCTCTCTCTCTCTCATTTTATATTATTATTAATCAACTAACTCATATATCTTAAATTGTATTTAATATTAGATTGGATATATTTTATCGCGTTATATAATGCACAATTTCATGCATACGAGTATATATAACAAACTATATTATTCCATTACGATCGTGTCTAAGTTTGCGAGACGATGTTACGTTTTCCGCTTCAATCGGAAAAATGCATTACCGGTACTGCATGTAAGTTACAAGTGTCATGACTTGTAAATCTCACGGTGTAACAATGATTAATGCACTCGAGGAAACGAAATGTGTCGCGATCGGACGGGCCGATCGGTTAATCGTTAATAGACGTATAGATAGAAAAAAATATCGATATCAGCTTGAGCTACATAACACGTACCATTGTCTAAAAGAATTAAATGTGCGAAATATTTCCATAAATCATATACATATATATATATTATATCCGTATTTATATACACGAGGCACTGCAACTTCTTTTTCTAGTACATTTTAAACTACCGTTTTTATTCTTACGAGACGCTACCTTTTTTATATTTTTACTAAAGTACGAAGCGATGCGTAATGTGTACACAGTATAAACGCATCGCGTAGACATCTCGACTAGAAAATTATATTCAAATCACTAGACTGAACGCATTATGATAAAAGATCTAGTCGTACTCTATCCAAATTTTGTTTTTAAATTCTTTCTATAATGCTGATAAGATGTGCATCGTGCGGTCTGTATATGCTCGCTTGCCCTTCGTATGTAATAGTATTACTTGCTCGCTGTCATTTTTTTTTTTAAAGACACTCAATCGTACAATTAAATATTCTTATTGACAGTATTATCAGCGATCTGTAAATTCTAAGCGATTTAATTTAAAAATACCGATAATACAAAAACCGTTTTGAAGTCATACATAAGTGAAAACATAATAATGGATAATAGATTGTATACAATTCGGACAACGATATTCCGCGGCAATTGTGTATAGAATACTGCAGCGAGTTTTATTGAAATGAAATGTTAAACGAAAATAAAATTTACATTCTCCAATCAACGAAATTCAATTCATTTCATTTCATTTTTCTATATTTCGCAAAAACAAAATGAGATATTAAAATTTCACCTGAAGGCGATATATCACAAAACCAGCCTGATATATAAATGGTCCTCTGATAAAAAAAATAATTAACAGTAAATAAGAACTGCATTCGTCCTTTTTGAAAAAAATATATATACATAATTATCCTACAGCTGCATCTTCCATATAAAAGTCCCATTATCCTGGTCGTAATAATTAATCTTTCGAGCATACGTAAAGGTGCCTTTAAGTTCCGCGTTTCACACGTTGGCTTGGTTCACTTTTGTCTCCGCTTCTTAGAATATTAATGGCTCTGCCCAGAGACAAAGACACAGAGACGATACGACGGACTTCTAAAGCGATTAATATCCTAACTTTTCTCAAACGAGTGATATGTTTTTGCGTCCATTTTTTTTTGCTTACAATTAAATGTACGTATTTGTGTTAAAGTAATCACTGAGTATGTATTGTATGACATGACAATTCACGTCGTGCATTCGAAAGTCAGTCATCGTATATAAAGCATGTAAATCATGACGAATGATTTTCTATTAAATATTACAGTGGATAACGATAATATTGTTCCAAATAGCATTAATCTTGCTATTCATTCATTTTACCATTGTCGTTTGAAAATAATAGTCGTTCCATTTCCATTAATACTAACTTTAAGTCGAGATGTTTTGTCGTATTTATATATTTGCATTTCACTTCAGATTACTATGTTGGAATGTAAATAAATTATTTAACAATCGATCTATCAATATATTAAATTTTTGCCATTCTATCTATGCTGATATTGTCTTCTTTTGTATCGTCGAGTGCGTGAGTTTTCAAGCTTCGGTATGCGATTGCCGATGTGCGTGCGATAATTAGCCGCAACGTCCACGTATTTTGCTCACTCGGCGCAATTGCAGAAGATAGTGTAAATATATTATATATATATATTATATATATATATTATACATATATATTTTAGTGTGCGTGTGCCTACTTCGTCTTATAGTTTGATACTGTTGTATATACGCGAACTGTATGTACCTCGAGTTACTGTAAAACACTTTAACTGTCAATTATGGAGTTTTACGATATACACAAAACTTCAGCCAGCGTAAATTACATACCGTAGGCATATACATACATATTAATTCTAAATTAGATACGTTTGAAGTAATACCCGTAGGACCGTATTTGGCGATGGGACAGATGTAATTCGATTCTAGGAAAAGAGCATCGAGAAAGTAATTTCTAAGTGTATCGAGACGGGTAAAATACTGTCTCGTCCGTTAACTAATCTTAAATACTCGGCAAGATCGTATTTAGAACGCTAGTTTCAGAGGGCCTATACTTTGAATCCTTTCTGCGCCTTGAAATGCGTGTATATCACAAGATATCGTAAGTACAATTGTACTGTACGTTAACATTTCTTGCTCGTAGTCTAATTACTTTTTGTAGAGTGCAATTTTGTTTTTTTGGAAAGATTGGATAAAGTCTAGACTTTGTTTCTGATACGAAACGAAAATCTATACAATACGAAATCCATTACAGCCGGATACTTACCGTCAAGAAAGTATTGGTATCTTTGCAAATCCATCTCAGCTTGTCTCTTTAAAACTTTCATGGAATGATCGCTATTCTTTAGAGAACTTTGCTCTTATGTTGTAAAGGAGATATTCCGAAATAGTATTTTACTTGTTGACGATTACCTATACGTATGTAACTATTCGCCGTAATTTAAATATAGAGTTGAACGATATTAAACGAATTATTAAATCAAATGGTGATTACGATGTTTCAAACAACGTTGTCTTATTAATGCATTTGGCCCTTTATATAACTTTAAGTGTTCCTTAATTTCTACTCGTCGGTTGAGGTAAGTTCTGAGGTGATTTAATCCAGCTGCGTTTTATTTCTAATCCGATGTATTTATTTACAATATAAAACGATTATATATGAATACATATAAATAACGTAAGAACACAATGAACATATCGATCGTATCGTTAAATGCGCACGCGTTACGTTATGTTATATACCTGTATGCTTTCAGATATATATTTTTTGTTTAGAGTTCGATCTCTGCATATGAATTATACTCTTATTAACGGATTTTTATTAATTGACCAATAAAATTATGTTATTTAGAAAAATATGTGATAATTGTAAGTGCGTATTTCTTAAATTTTAATTAAATATAAAAATATTAAATTAATATATGTATGACATACAAAAATATTTATAAATACAGGAATAGGTAGTATGAATCTTGATAAAAAAATTTCTATTTTTGCTTGTAATAATTCAAAATGCGAATTTTTTTTAAATGGTCATTTGTAATTCCTAAAAATATGAGACTTTCAAATTTGAATAACCATGTTACACTCAAACTTAATAATTTATTAAACTTAATAATTTATTAAAGCTTCTAATGACTTTAAAAATATCTTTTTTTTTTTGTAAAAAATTCGAAATTGATTTTTTGCCCAGAAGTTAGATTCTGTAACTATAAAGATAGTGTCGTTATACGCAAGTAGAATATATAGTAAAAAAGTTATAAACCGTCAGCAATGACACCGTCGTTAAAAGTTACAAAAATCTAGTTGCTGAAAATAGAGTATTGAAAGTTCTATACTACGCACTTATATTTACAATATATCTCGTAGCATTCGATAGTTTCTTTATTTCGATGTCATGACGAGAAATGATTTAGAGAATGATCTCTTAAATAAATACACAGAAGGATGATTCGCATGCTTACACTAATAAGAGTCTCCAATGATTATATCGCTTGATCACGAAATTTGCTTTTGTATTTCTTTTGCGAGTAATCTAAAGTAAAGATATAAAAAGAACGTATACGAAGGATTTTATAGGATACGAGTAAATCGAGTAATTTGCTTTTTTACAAATACACACGCTATATCTTGTCGAGTTTTTTTCCCAGTACAAGAAAAAGCGCGGCTGTTACACTGTGAGCTTTATCGAGCAGCAGTGCTTCTTCTCAGATCCTTTTCACTATGACGTTTAATTAATATCTCTTTGTTTTTCTAACATATATAGGAAAGTATATTCGAAATGATGATAATGTGTTAGAAACGCTCGATGCGTTCCAAGCGTTTTAATTTTCTACGACGGAAATGACGACGCGATGACAATAATTTAGAAGGAATTAAGTACGTAAAACTACGATGTATATAAGGTATAAATTCCTGCAGTCTCTCGAAACTTTCTACGTTTAACGTAAAGGCTAGTAATAGAATATCTCGAGAAATCTGTAGACTTTTTTCCGACGTAATATTTTTAGATTCTCTTTTAACCCTAATCGTTTTGTTCCGAAATTTTCTTAATTGAGTACAGTGTACATTAAATTAAATTAAGTTTCTTTAATTATATACATTGTCAGAAATGTTTTTCACAACTTTATATAATTTTAAGTTACATAATCATATTTCTCGGATTTTGACTTCCAAAATAAAAAAAGTATTCATTAATTACTAACTTTAATTACTAACTTTGAGCAAAAATACATTAATTTAAGGTACACTGAATCCGCGAATATCGATCATAGGGTTAAAGAAAATCCTACGAAATCAGGTATTATCGAAAATAAATTCTGGATGTTTCTCGAAGGAAGCTCACAAATCCTCCTACGGTTTTTCATTGCTTCTCAAAGCACGGAATTGTCGATCGCGTGTGCTACGGATTCGACGACAGTTTGCTCGCGGCAGAGAGATTTATCGCGAGTCGTCAGTTCTTCTTCGAGAGCTCCTGGAAAAAAGCCTCGATAGGTAACGTCGGTTCGTCCGTGTTGATCTTGAACTGTGACGAAACGAGTCTGCTTTCCGGCGAGACCGCTTTGAACATGCCCGGCTTGTCGTACAGAGCGGAGGCGGAGCTCGTCAGATCCGCCACGCTCTGCGACGCCTTGGCGAATAGTTCTTCCTCGGATTGTACATCGAACTTCGTCGTAGTCTCCTTAGCTTCCGGCTGTCCCTCTTGCGCCGCGTCGCTCTCGCTTCCGGTCGTCGTGGAGATTTCCGGCTTCTCGACTCGACTCGTCTGCTCAGTCACATCACTCGAAATCCGTCCGTGATCGTCCTCGACCAATGCCGCGTCGGTTGGCGCCGCTTTTGTCTCCTCATTCTGCGAAACAGTTTCTTCTTGGTTTTTGTTCTCCTGCACATCGAGTTTCACCGAATGATCGTCGAGCGACGCCGCCTCTCCCTTCTCGCTGATGATCTCGTTGCCCACAAAACGATTAGTCGACGAAGCAGTCGAGTAGAAATTAGTTTCCTCAGCAGCCATCTCCGTAGATTCTTCTTGTCGTTTACTATTCGTGACCGCACTGTTCTCCTTCTGCAGCCTGTTCTTCACGATCGGTCTCCTGCGTATCGACGACGAATACACGTTCTCGGGTCGCGTCGAGCTCTGCCTGATATTCGCCTCACTGCTGATCTGAGATCGTGTGGGACTAATCGTCGTAGAGGCAATTCTACTTCGGTAAACGTTGCCACTGATCGGCCGCCTCTTCGGTATGAATCTGTTGTTCTTTTCGGTCGTCGAAGACGCGCTCTCTTCCGAGTATCGTTCGTGATCCCTTGCAGCTGTAGGGGATGACGTAGTGGTTCGATAGTTTATCCTGGAAACGTATTTGTACCTGCCGGTGGTCTCTCGTACAGTGTCGCCCGTCAGCTGTGTTTGTTGGTTCTTCGCGCTCGACGTTCTCTGTCTGTTGTGAGGACCGCGCGTTAAGGCTTCACTGGATGGTGTCGGTGCCACCTCCGTCGTAGAGCTTTGCGATAGTCTGTTCTTGTAATCCATGCGGCTCTTGTAATCCTTGATGCTGAAACGTGGTCTAGTAGCGTTGCCATATCTCAACGGGCGACCTATCTTGTGAGACCTCGATGTAGAAGTGGCGATTTGAGGAGTTTGCGTTGCCGGTTGCGGAGTGGTCGTTGTCGTCGATGTCGTTGTCGTTGACGCGGTTGTCACGTCTGTGGTCGTGCGATCGAAATAATTACCGTCGGTCTTCACGTAGAGCTCTTCCAGTGGTATGCCGGTGACGATGTTAACGTTTTGCTGGCGAGTATCGACATTGTAATCTTCGACCTTGCCACGGCTGATCTCCGTGAAGTATTCCGGCACTTGTTCCGGTACAATGCTCTCTTCACGATGTTCCTCGCGTTGGTTCTCGCGATATCCCTCATTTTGCCGTGAGGAGTAGTCATAATACTGATTAATCGGCTGGTTCGTTTCGTACGAAACGCTTGGTTGATTCGTCGCGAACTGATTGTTCTCATCGTAGCTCGGCGCGGACTCCGTGGTTTGTCCGTAAGAATTTAGGGAGATGTGCGCATTCTCCGTGATGAACTGCGTGTCGTACGACTCGTCGTGGCTCACTTTCGTACGATGACTAGGTCGTTTTCTGACGTTACCTCTTTTCTCCACGTCCTCGTTGTAACTCGCCTGGGTGGGTTTTATTCGCCTTCTTCGCGCTGAGTCGTGTTGATTATGCTGCACGTCCTCGCTATTATACTTGAGGAAGTCTTCCTCCTGATAAGATGTCGTGAGAGGCTCCTGCGTGGTCGTCGTCGGCTTCCTTCGGCGACCTGGGCCAACCGGACGACGAGTTCTGGATCTCTGCGTCGTTACCACTGGCACCGTTTGCACTTCCGGTGCCACCGTCGTCTGAATCGGCACATCTTCCGCATATAAAGTCAAGGGAGTGGCGGTTTCCGGCGGTTGATTCGGCGGCTCCGTCGGTGAGAGCTCGTGCGTGATGCTCGTTGGCTTTTTGCGGCGTTGCGGAACACGTGACGGTTTCTGCGGACGATACGGTCGCGTCTCGGTTTGGGGCTCACGATAATTGACCTGTTGCTCCTGATACCCATTCTGATAATGCTGCTGATATTGATAATTCTGATTCACCTGGTTCTCCGGAATCTGGGATATCTACGATAGACAATTTAGAATCTCATTTTTTATATCCGATAAGAAAGTAGAACAAATAGCCAATAAATAATGATTTATTGATCCTATTTGATTGGATTGTATTAATTTTAAATAAAATTTTGTTAAAGATCCCACACTAATTATATGAAATGAGTTAGCTTTCACATATAATGTAGCTTATAATGTGTGGTAAACAAAAGATGTCACAAGGCTTAATGGATAATTTTTTTTTAACTATAATGTATCAAAGGTGCTTTGTGAGCGCCTTTAATATACTATTATTTAGTAGGCCTTGCCTGTGACATCTCTTATTCGCCACATTATAAACTACTTTCTAAAACTTTTAGAGTGAATTGTCACTCTGAAAAGTGAGATCTCTCTTTTAAAGACTGAAAAATTGAGTCATGTGGAAAAGCTAATTTATTCCGGCACTCAATTTTCCATATAATTAATACAAGATCTTTCTTGTTAAAAGAATTTTATGATTTAATATTTCATTTACTCCGTATTTTTTTAAATTTCTGTAATATTTATTCACTTAATTAAAATGGCAGAGCGAAATTATAAAATTAGATATTACCTGAGGTTGAAGTCCCAGCTGATCGATGTTATAAATATCAGACTGCGATACTAGAATATTTCCAACTGTAGTGACCTGCGGTTCGAATTGCTCCAATTGAATCGTGTATGGCATGTCACTTGAGATCTTTATAATCTCCTGCGACTGATTTTTCGCGGACTCTGCTGCAAGTCTAGCCGCCTCTTCTTCCTCCTTCTCCCGTTGCGAAAGCTGATTAAGCTCTTCCTGCTGTTTCTTCAGCTCCGCCTGCTGTTGCTGTTCGATCTCCAGTTTCTGTTGACGATCCTGTTCCGCCAGTCTCTGTCGATCGCGCAACAGCAACTGTTGCTGCAACAGATACTGTTGCTCATTGAAATGCTTCAGAGAGATGCTCTCTGGTGTCTCGTAATCCGGTATCGGAGTTGGTGGGTAAACCTCAACTGGATCGAAGGAGCTTTGCGGTCTATGGTACACGATCTTCGGGCCTTGAGTAATCTGATTCTGGTTTACGACTTCTTGACTGAACTTGCTCGGTGGATTCTCTTTCGGCAGAACTTCGTTGATGTCAGACTCGTATTTGCTCTTTGGCCACGTGGGCGGTGTAAGTTCCTGATGCTCCGGCACATAATAAGCGCTTGTAGTTCTGGGATTAGGTAATTCGGTTCGTCCTTTCTCTTGCTTATTACGCGTGCTCTGATTTGGACGCTTATTATTATAATTGTTCTCCCGAGTCGCGTCGTTAGTTTGATCGAATTTGCTGGGATTCCGTGTAACAGCGGTAGTGGTCGGTGGTGTTGACGAGGGTGAATAGATCGAAGGCGGCAGCAGAGTTTCGTAAGGTAACGAGGGTCGGAAGCTGTACATACTATACGTGCCGGGAGGAGTTACGTAACTAACCTCGTGACTCTCGTGCACCAAGAAGGCAGGATCTCGCTCGTAGGAGGGCTTATAATGATTCGATGGATGATTGATTTGGCTGTAGAAGTTGCCGGTGTTCGCCGAGTTTAATATCTGCGTGTGAGACTGCGCTTGGTATCTGTTGTAGACATCGCCATCATTACCGGCGATCTTTTGCTTGCCAAAGTCGCCCGGGGCTTTTGCGCCAGGCGGTTGGAAGTATGGTTTCGCGCTGTTGGCGACCTTCAACGATTCAAACTGTTTCTCAGGTTGACGAGGTGGCTGCAATGCCTGCGGCATGGCGAATGGTGGAACGTAAGGGCGGTTATTCGGGAAACCTTTAATAAAATAGGTCGCCGCGCGTACACTGTCCAGCGGTTGTTGATGGATATTCTGCGCCGTGAGGTAGGCTGCCTGCGGCGGCTGTCTTGGTAAGTAGCTACCATTCTCGCGCACGATCGGCTTGCGGTGTTGGTTGACCTCGAAACGGTACGCGTCCTTGGGCGGTGGTATCAGGAACGTGTACTCCCGGGTTTCCGTGGCCACGTGCTTGTTCGGCGTTTTGGTTTCGCCACGTGCCTTCGTCGCCGCGTGTCCGAACACCGTGAAACTACCGAGTATACTCGGAGGATTGTATTCCTGAATCGGCGGCTTGCCCTTGCGTAACGGCTTTAGTTTTTCCGAAGTCGCCATATGTTCTTGAAACTTGCTCAGAACGGGATGCACCTGGACATTTTTCTCTAAGTGGCTCGACGGCGACACGTTGGTGCCGATCGATTCCTCGTAGGAATTGGTCAGAGGTCGCCAGCCATTCGCGATCATCGACGATCGTGTTGGTGGCTGCGGATCAAAACTTGAGCTTTAGTTCTTGAAATAGAAGTTTAGGAATATATACATTACATCTGTCAGGTATCTATTATCGTAAAAAGGACTTTTATCGAGGACAATTAAATTAGTAAAATTTGCATATGTTGACATTTGCATTCTTATTTCTTTGACTTCAGAATAATATTGTACAGAGAAAGAACGATTTTGCTATCTAAAAATAGATAAATGCAATTTTGTTGGACTGTCGAAAATAATTATGTAGAACGTTCAAGTGTAATAAACAATGTTACAAAGAATTTTGGCATCCTAACAACTATTTTGAGCGTTCTACATAATTACTTTGATGATCAAATAAAATTATTATTTGATGCTTTAGCAAAATTGTTTTTTTTTGTGTGTAACGTTTTATTAAAAAAATTTTTTATATAAGTAATTTTTTTTTACTTTTTAAAATTTTATTTATTCTATGACAAAATTTTTACGACCGTTAGACTAGTACACCGCGATAGAGAAACTTGTTATATAGCTTTGTCATAGAGCTTTTCATGTACATTCCCTATACAGAGCATCAAACACAACTTTCGTTCACGCCATAGCGACGACAACAATAGTAATGCGATACTCGAACTTCCTGGAGAGGTTAATGGAATGGTTCCTGTTCCAGTTTCATCGCAACGGAGGTCCGAGAAAATTGTAAGTGAGACTTTTATTCCCCGCCATCATGTTGGCGGCAAATGGCGGTCTGTATAATCAGAAAATAAGTGCATGAGGACCTTAGGAGCACACCTTAGGAGCACATTTCCAAATTATTTGTTATAAGTCCGTTCGTTCAGAAACGATATACTACAAATTTTACTCGCACGCCGCTGACATTTCTAATAATCATACAAAATCAAATCTAAAATTTCGAAATATACTACTGATGAATGTAATGAACGTGAACGTTGTGAAGCTCGTAAAGTCAATCACCCTTGATAGAACGAACTGTCTTCCAGTTTCTGAATTTATTCCGCTTTCAAAACGTAAATCAGAATTCTCACTTGCGAGATTGTCAAATTGCATAAAACTTCAATGAAACGAATGGAGAGACTTCGTGATTTGACTACGTGACTGGTTGTGCAATAAAATTGCCAATAAGATGTTAACCTTAATAATCTCATTCCATACATACAAGGTTGATTTAGATAATTCGATTGTTTAGATAATTCGAAACATGAGAAAGATATGTACGCAGAAGGTAAGATGCTAACTGTAACGTTGCTGTGATGCCTAATTGTGCTAAAAACAAGATGATTAGAAGAAGATGGATATTTAAATCGTAAAATAATAAAGTGGTAGAGAGAGAATAAAATACAGACAGAACGTGAATTAAATATAACGTAAAAAGAATAAGAATAAGAATAAACAATACTGGTTAAGTCTGTAAAAGAATGGGATTTGACAGAACAATTGGCGGTGGAGTAAAAAGAAAAGAATGAGGAAGATCTGAGTTAAATATTTAATATTAATTACGCGAGAAAAATATACCGTTTATTTATTTCTTTCGCGCAATTATGAATTCAAAAGCAATTTTTCGTTACAAAGGATTTTAAAGAATGCTATTATCATAACTTTCTGATGCTCAGTATTAAATCTTGGCTATTAAATGTTAATGTAAAAGAAAGTGTAAGGTATCTTATGCAATAAAGATAAAAACACACTAATTTAATAATTAACGATAAATAACGATGTATAATGAAAATTATGAGAAACTTTTGGTGTTACTTACGGTTTTATTAATGTCAGAGCGATCTATGGATACAGTAATCGCTCCTACCGTGACAAACAGCCATGTCGCTAGAACACCTATATAATTCAAATAATATAAATATAAATATAAAAAAAATATACATGTTGAATAAAGAATTTGTTGATTTCAGAGATCAAAAGTTATACTTACAATTCAGTAGTAATATCGACGACATCGTGGCAGACCATGAGGTCATTTACAAGAATTCTGTAACGAAAAAATTTATCATGTTTAACATATCTTACTTAAGGTCTTATTTAAAATCTTAATAATAAATAAATTATTGATAAATATGAAATATAATGCATAACATTGGTGAAAGTAAAAAATTCTGTATTTAAAATAAAGAACTTGTACGACATTAAAATGCTACTTTCTGCGGAATGTAGAATTGGCTTCACGAAAACTGACATTTATCAACATCTGAGATATAAGTAGGACGGCTCATACTTCATCTCGTATTAAGGCGAATTAACTATTAAAACATGAGCACGAGAAAAGTGTAACGTATCGCGCAGAGAAAGGAAGGATATAGAAAGCGTCGTGAATCTATCATAATCTCTCGGATCGTTTCCGTGCTGTTTTCTCATTTTTAAATCGCGGTAATAGCGAAATCTATGAAGGAGGGAGATTTTCTCTTTTTATAAGTATTTTTGCCGTGATACGCAGATATCTTTTGTGTAACGTTCATTTTCGTGTAAAATATACGAAATGTGCGCGAGGTCAGTATTCATAATTTTGAATCACTCAGATATTCAAATTTGACTTCGCAAGTTGTTGCTTACTGCAATATAATCTGGCACATGCATGAAAAAGACGCGATAGAATTTCGCGTGCGAATATCGAGATATTACAGGCTCGTTAGTAAACGTTAATATTCATGAGAGTAACGCAGTAAATCGCTAACTGCCCCATTATTACCGCAAGTGTTTGACGTAATGGTCGAAATTGTCGGATTATGAAATTGTAACGTAAATTTAGATACAGTTATGATATTGCTTATTAAACCTTTCGTAAGCATTTGCCTATTAAACCTTTCGTAAGCATAACGAGGATATAAGAGGAAAATAAACAAAGAGAATAATAATAATAATTGTATTCAGCGATAACGTGATGCACGGCAACGAGCACCCTCGTAATTAATGTTTTGTGAATAATAAAAAGAAGCAACAATCGTGTTATGTAAAATAGTAAAAGCTAGGTAGGAAATTTGTAATGCAAAAACACGCCACTTTCTCTTCATTCATTAAGCATCGGGGGTGCGCACGAATTGCGCTGATTTTGCATAGGTAGTCTCCCGTCTTACTTTTACGGCATGTAGAAAAAAAAATCTGAAATTGGAACAGATAAAAGTGCGCGCGATATTTAGTGAGGCATGGCGCGTAAAACGCGTCACTCTTTACGCGAACGAAATTTCGATCGAAATTTCATTTAGTCGATAACTGCGCGTTAATAACGAGGCCCTGGAAATTAGTTGGCGCAGCATCGCCGCGGCAATTCAATTGGCTGGCGCAAAGCCATCGTTGCCCCATCGATTTCAATGTAATTATAAACTCACGTTGAGCGATACGATCGCGCCGTATGAAAATTGCACGAGAACGATATTTCTTCTATCTCGCGCAATAATCGTTTGGGGATTCTCGATTTTACACATATACGGTTAATTACGCGCGGTCATAATTTGTGATTATGATTTTCTACCCGGAAAGAATAGTTTTACTGAAGTGTCGAAAAATTTCAGCTGAATACAGATTTGAAAATAATTTTGTCGAATTATCATTAAATAATTAGTAGGACGCTCGAATTGATTGTTGAATGTCAAAACTTTTTGCAACATTGCTCCATTCTGCTTGAGTTTCCTCCCAGCGAGAAATGATTATTAATTAGATGTCGAATCAATGTCGATTAGACATCAATTCGATATCATTTCTTGCTGGGCTATAATTATTTTGATGGTCAATAAAATTATTTTCAGATCTAGCTAAAATTTTAGATACTTCAGCAAAATCGTTCTTTTCGTGTACTAAATATTTATATTCTAAATGATCTTTCAATATGATACCTTTTGCATATATTTATTTCATAATTATCGTACGTGACGAATTATTTGTGAAGCTGAATATAGGTATATATTCTATTTTTAATTAAAAACTTTTTAAAATAACATTCAGATCTCTCTTCTTCTTTTATGTTGACTGTCCATGACAACTTATTTTCATTGTCTTCATATTTTAAAGATAAAGTTCTGCAGTTCTTCGGTTTTTTGTGATTTGCTTATTTAAAAATAGCTAGAAGAGCTTGCTTTATTTTTCTCTCCTTTATCTAGGAAACGGTGTCACAGGTGGGAGATAAAAACAATTCTTCGATTATTATGCTTGCTGGTATCGCTTGGTGCTGCCATCTTCGTGGTCGGAAGCAGCCGCGTTACGAGAAATCGATGGAACCCGGTCGCATTTAAATTTCGAGCCAGTTTGCGAATGAATTAATTATAAATGTCTCTAAGCCTCCCGAAGGAATTGATGCATTCTATGGCTGGCATGATGAATGGAGTTGAATTGCTATACATCGACATGCAGTTTGAATATGACTGAGTCCCTCATTTTTCGTTGTCGATGGCTTCGTAAATTCAATTTATTATGACTGGATATGAAAGGAAATATTCTATTTCGCGTTATTAAATCAAAAGATAGATTCAGAAGAAATTTTCCAACTGAAAGAAAACGTCTGAGACAACATATTCTGTTTTTGAAAGATTTGACAAGATATATATCATGAATGACAGAAGTGTTGTTGCTATAATTCAGTAGACCGTGCATTAAATGAAACATAGTTGAAATGGTGCGAGAATATCCAATTTTTCTTCGTTATGTGTGATTTATTCGAGTCGAAATTATTCAAGAATTTTTCGCCATTCTGCATAATCCGATTACGAGTTGATTGCAATGCGAGAAAACTTGCAAAGCTATGGCTTTTAATTTTTTATGACCGTATACATTTTTCTGGACTACTATATATAATACGATTTAATAAATTTTAATCAATACAAAGTTAGATTTATAAATACATATTATATAGATTTACGTTAAAATTTCTATAGTTATATCTTTTATGTATATTTACCAGTTAAATAAAATCGTTCTACTTTTACAAGACAGATATTATTACAGAGTCATTGCAATTTAATTTAATATTCTGTTTATGCACGTCATATTCTTAAAGCAAATTAAATTAAATTAATTAATTTATCAATGACGAAATTTTCCTTTAATGTTCCTTCAATCTGAGAACAGGCATCGATATCGATAGCCAGTTCTTTACATCTGTATGCTGATTTTTCTTACTTATATCCGGCGACCTTGACGATAGAAGTAAAATCGATTTCCAAACGGCAGGATGTCTAGGAGAACCACTACAACCTGACATACGGACAAGCCTTCGGTGATTTTTATCGATGCGATTCTCTTCTCACGGTGTTTCTATAGTATAACGATCTAACTGACCACACACGTTCGGTAAATGCCTCACTTCACCAATGCCAATTAATATGCCCGGAATGCACACTGATTGCGAGTATCATGCTCTGCAGCAACGGCAAGTGCATTATATCGACAGAAAGATAGACGCACTGGTGCAGCCTTTTAGCATTAATGGATTGAAATTTGCTTTATGCGCCGCTTTAACAAGGGAACAGGGAAACCTGTGATATTTACCCAATAGGTTACCATTGCTGCTGTTTCACAAAGTGAATCGCATTTAATACTGTCCTCCGGCAAAGTGAGACTAACCGTAAAGTGTATTAACTTGGAACACACGTACTTCGGAAGACGTACTTCGTAAATGACGAAGTTACAACGTTTACGAGATTTCCTACCTTCATTTTTCCTCGGAATTACCGGTGCGGTGGAAAAGAAACTCGACTCTAGTTCTAGTTCGACCATTTCCCAAGCTGGGTTCTGGGTTATCAAACTTTATATGGTATTTAATTTGGTATATAACTTTACTGACATAAAGTTGACTTAAATTAAAAATTAAAATCTGAATAATTTTACCGAGAGTCTTTTTTATCTCTTTTTTTATCTCTCGCATAAGAACAAAATTAAGTTAGACGATTTAAATAAAAGTTAGACGATTTTAATGGTATATTTGTTTTTAAAGAAATATTTTTTCAAAAACAAATATCATCATATCGAAATTGTCTAATTTCTAATCTCCTTCCTGTGCAAAAAGTGCTTAAACTTTATTTTACTCTATTTAAATTTCTTATTAGAAAAATATTTCTGCAATGTTTTCCGATTCTCTATCGAACACGCAAATCTCCCATACATAAAACATTCGTGCAATATGAATACGCGATTGAAAAAAAAAAAAAAATAAAAAAAAAAGTCGAACCGCAAACACTACGAAGAGATAATGACAAATACCCGTGCAAATGGCTCGCGCCAGCGAGATAAAAGTAAGATAAAGGTAAACGGCCGGTCGGGAAAGGCGCGTGGCGCAGAATGGTGCACGGTACCATTTCCGAGGCCGCTTTTTTCCGCGAATAACGCACCCGATCTCACGAAAGGGTCACGCTCTAGTTCGCTCGGCCTTTCGCTTTCCACTTGGCGCTCGGCGCTGGAAGCGAGGCCCACGCATTAATTGTCAATTACCTTGCCGTAAAACCGAATTCGCGTTGGCCGTTTTAACGCCCCCAATCCCAGGAGGTAAAGCCTTCCGCGTTACGTGCGCGGATATGACGCTATTGTGCGGTTAGTTCGTAACAATAGTTACGTTTTAATCTGCGCCGATCGTAGCTGCGGTCGCTCGCGCTGTTTATATGCTCTATTCTGTTCCAAATGGATACAAGCTGGCAATTATCGGCGATGACGCACAATGCGGTTTTTTTTACATATTTGTTTTTTTGTTTTTTTTTTTTGAAATAAAATAAAAGATTCACTTGAGATGCGCATCACACCGAATTGCATAGTAATAGAGATATCGCGGCTACGATCGTAATGAGAACGGAAAAGTAACGTGAGCTGTGGGAGTACTCAGTGCGTAGGAAAAATAAGTATGTTATAACGGTAAATTCCGCAAAGATTAGACTGTTTCCACTTTACTTTCCTTCCGTTAATTTTTCGTTCGCAATTTTTTTTTGTTTAATGTAGGCGAAAATTTGTGCTATTTGTACAAAAATGTAAAACGTAAAAATTTTGACTACCATTTAT